TCCGTCGCCCGCCTACTACGGTCCTTCTGACTTACGTCGCCCACCGACTACAGTCCTTCTGACCTTCGTCGCCCGCCGACTACAGTCCTTCTGACTTACGTCGCCCACCGACTACAGTCCTTCCGACCTCCGTCTCCCGCCGACTACGGTCTTTCTGACTTACGTCGCCCACCGACTACAGTCCTTTCGACCTCCGTCGCCCGCCGACTACGCTCTTCCTGACTTACGTCGCCCACCGACTATAGTCCTTCCGACCTCTGTCGCCCACCGATTATGATCCTTCCGACTTATGTCATCCACCGACTATAGTCCTTCAAATCAAACAAATACATAAGCAGTGATTCTTTGTATTCTCATCATGTAATGTGCTCTATAAGATGTACATCAAGCTAAGGCCTTCCCCCAAGGAAGGGCCTCATTTGTAATCAACTGCAAATAATAGTGGATTCATTCAAACTAGGATAGGCCCCGGGGTTTTTCCCCTTTTTCAGGGGTTTTTCACGTAAAAATCTTGGTGTCTCTAGTAAATGTTATACCCTCTCTCTTATCTGATTGCGTGCCGGATTTTCGTGAAAGTTAATATGTTAAATATTATATTTCTCTACTGCGGCGAATACTCCATGACGCAATAATATATAATTTTGTTTTAGATAGATTATCATTAATCAATTTTTATGTCATTTAGATATTAGAATATTGTATAAGTAAATAATAATAGATATAGGAATGTAGAAGATTAAATGAATATTAATGCAAATACTCTTTTCTGCGAGGTTTGCTTATTTATGTCAATCTCTATTTGAACTGAAAAATTCATATAAAAAGGAAAAAAATCATAGTGTGATATCCATTTGAAATGATTTCATAAGTATTTGTTGTTTGTTATAAATTATGCCCTTCCTCAGGGGAAGGAACTGATGTAATGTAGCAAATAAATAATGTATAAAACATATTTCTTGTTGGATGTTGAAAGGGTCATTGGTCGTAGCAAATATAATATTTAAACTGATAGTGTGTGAGCTATCTTTTAAGTAATTTTTTTTTCTGTCATACTGCTTTGAGGAGAGAGGATCATGGATCAAGAAGTCTAACATTATCCTTATATTGACGTCATGAGTTAAAGTTGTTGTCAAGTATGTGCGTCAGTCTTATAAGCATTGACGTGTGTTAATTTTTTTGGTGACAACGGATGATAAGACCAAGCAACAAAGGTCTGAGGATTGTAATGGAGCGACGAAGGTCGAATAATCATACTTGAGGAATAGTATTCAGAGGATCGTAACTGGGCAACAATGATTGAAGTTTGGGGAAGTGTTCGAAGGACCCTATTCAAGCCTTTGTAGTATGAGGATTAAAGTTAAGTGATGTTGATCAGAGGAATGAACTCGAGCAACAATGGTCAAAAAAACGCAGTTTAAACAACAATAGTCAGGGGACCGTTATTAGGCGATTGTGATCATTGGATCATAGTTCGGTCAAGAGACCATATTCAGGCAATAGTTTCAACCAAAATCTAAAACTCTTAATCGTGCATCCCTTATTAGTTCCCTCGGTCATGGACCATTCTTTTAGCTTTTAAGTGTCTTAGTGATATTAGAATTAACTAATTGTTGGCTCATTTAACTCGTCTTATCAAAACACTAGATTTAACTATAAGAACATAAAATTTGGAGATCATTTGATCAATCAATTAGTGCCATAAAATTTTCAAATACACTTTAAGCACTTGGTTTGAATAAAATTTATTAAAATCAGAATTTAAATAATCTTAAATTAAATTTTAAATTTTTTTAATATAAATATACATCAAGATTTGTTCCAAATTAAGTCAAATACTTACCACACCAAAAATAAAATTTTCACCTATAAATGATGTACTAGAAATTGAACCCATTCCAAACCTTTTTTTTATTTTTTTTTTTTGATAAATGATATATATTATTTTTTCATTATATATTTGTTATCCTGACTTTATAAATATATTGATATCCGAAATATTTTTTCTTTCTCATATAAAATAATATATAATAGAAGGTCCTTGACCTGTACGAGCATTCATGTATGCGGTTGGTTGGCCCAACTGCATCGTTGCACATAAAATTGACGCTTCGCCAACCGCTAACACAAGAATTTGATTTATTTACCTTTACCGTACGCTTCCCCAACGAACAAATTTTTCAAAATAATATCATTTAAAAATTATTATCGTAAAAATGAATTATTTTTTTTTAAATAATGACATTCGATACCTTCGATAACGACTAAGTTTTGTTTGGGACTACTTTGTAATATAAATATAAAAATTTTATACTAAAAAACTGCTTTAAGAAGCAGTAAGAAAGTCAT